TATGTAGCTTCTCCAATGTTTCCTCATGTTTAAATTCAGTTTATGCACCTTGGGCAAGAATATTCCAGAAGCGATGTTATGTTCTTGTATCCCATTGGGTAGCGTGTAATGTCAATCTGTCCCACTGTTGGTCATGTTTACTTTGATCACTTGATTAATATGATATCTGTCAGGTTCGTTCTCCGTAAAGGTACTTTTTCCCCTTTATAATTAGTGAGTACCTTGTAAGGGAGGTATTTTTAAATTATGTAAAAATCCCATTCCTCGTCTCATTTTTACCCACTAGATTTAACATCCAATAGTATTTTTTACCTGAAATTATAACTATGATGATTGTCAATTTTCCTCTAAACTTTATGTTCGTTCATTGGTATTGTGCTGTAAGAGCTTTCTCTTCTACTCACTCCCCTGTTTGTATCAGTTTGGACTCTTGAACTTCTACTTTATTTCATGGGTTATACCTCACTGCTATCATTATTTCTTTTGATCCTTATATTATCCCCAAATTATCCCAATATTGCCAGTGGGAACTCCTGCAAACAGAGTTCTGTGTCCTTTTAACACTTCTCTGTCATTCATTGAGAACTTCCATGTTTTCTGTCAAAACAAGATGTTCCAGGCTTATCGTGTTTGTTTTTTTCTAATCTGCCCCAGCCCTATAATCAGTCATTTTCTCCCAGAAGCCCTGGTTCCTTTAGTGGAGAATGGTATTTAGAAACCAAGATCTGGGTTCTGTGTGCACTGATTGCTACTGGGATGTCACGGCTCCTAGGTTCCCTCGGTGGCTCAAACTAAGAAATATATGCATGTATCTATATATATTGGTATTTACAGCTATCTAGAGACTGCAAACCATGATGTCACACCCATACCTCCCATTCCAGTCCAGGGCCAGAGTTCATCCTAGGCCAGTCTAGTTCATTCTAGTCCCCCCACCCAACCCCTGCATGTTTGTACTTCCCTTGCCCAGAAGCCTGGCTCCCATAGGCCTCAATATATCGACTTATTTGCTCGGTTTCCCTATGTAGCCAATCTCCTGATCCCCAAAGGGCCAGTCAAAAGCCTTCCTCATGAGGTCTCCAATCCCTGCTGACTGTAGTCTGCACACATGAACGTCTTCCCTGTGGTCCCACTGCTACCCTGCTGCCTTCCTCCTCAATTTACCTTCCACACATTAAAAACAGCTACCGGGGTGCCTGGGTGGCTCAGTCATTAAGCGTCTGCCTTCGGCTCAAGTCATGATCCCAGGGTCCTGGGATCGAGCCCCGCATCGGGCTCCCTGCTCAGCGGGAAGGCTGCTTCTCCCTCTCCCACTCCCCCTGCTTGTGTTCCCTCTCTCGCTGTGTCTCTCTCTATCAAATAAATAAATAAAATCTTAAAAAAAAAAAAAAGACAGCTACCATCTTCCATCTTCTGCCATCTGGGAAACCCTCCAGTGCCACTCCTTAAACACATAAAAAACATGCTTTCATGTCAGTGTTTTCAACGCTGTTCCTCAACGATAGTCACTTATGGCAGAATTCACTGTTTTGTTTTTACCACATTCCCAGAATTTAGGGCGGAAGATATACATTAATATTTGCAGTCATGAAAGAATGTTTGTTTTTTGCTCTTAATTTTAAGAAACGGTTAATCAGCAGCACAGTGTGGTCACTTACTAAGAGCTGATTGATCGAGTTCTTGACAATTCTGCTCAAAAACTAATTAAATTACAGCTTAACTTATCATGGCCTTCCGTGATCTTTTCTCCCAGTGGGTCTTTTCTCCCGTTGGGGACCCATCTATGGAAAGGGCTTTGCCTTTGATTTAACGACAAAGATGCTACTAATCTGCTCCACTTATTCATTTATGCACTCATTCATTCACCAAATATCCATCGAGGACCTGCTATGTACCTATGGTTGTCCGTGGTAACATGGGATCCACGACACACAGACTCCCCTGTCCTAGCTACGTCTCTAGTGTTCCTTGTCTTCATCCTGCACTCTCTATTTACTGCCTAGCTGGTCAGACTGCAAGGGTGTGTGAAGGGGGCGTGGGAGAAAGTAAAGGAAGTGGGTCCTGGTGAGACAACCAGCCCCCCAGAGAGGGAGGGGATCCACCTCCTCAGAGCCACTTTCCCTTCCCCTTAGGCTGTCAGAGCAGCAAGTCACAATCCCAGGTGACCCAGCAAAAATAGAGTGTTTACCAGCTCGGTTATCTCCACTCTGGCTTCTGGGGATCTTCTGGAGGGGCAGGAGGGGGAAAAGAGAGGAGCACATCCCCCCGCACCTACTCATGGCTGCTGAAACTGAGCTCTGGGCTGTCTCGCCCTTCCACCCCTCTCTCCGCATTTTCCATTCCTTCCTCCAGCGAAGGCCTCTGCCTGGGGCCCAAAGAGCTACAGAGCAGCTTTCCACTCTGCAGGTCTTGAGACCCCAGAGCAAAGCCCAGAGCATGACAGAGGCCAAGCTTGTTCGCGCTGTGGGTCACGGGTTCTCACTGGGCAAGGGAAGGCCTGAGCAGGGCGTGGGGTGCAGCTGCAAGGTACTTTGGGTGGTTGTGATGCTATCTGGGCCTAACCGTTTCCTTTGGGTAAGCACTTCCGCCCTCCTGTTTGTGAAGCCAGAAACCTGTGCTGGGGCAGCCCCATTCTGAGCCAAAAAGAAGACTAGTGGAGGCAGAAAGAAAAAGGCGCCATGAGTCAGGGTTAGAAGACATGGTAAGAGACTATGTTCCTATCACCCGCTCAGTCCCGCACCTTTAAAAGGAAGAAAAGAGTCACAAGCACAAGGATGCATTGTAAGGTACCAGGAAATTTCCTTTCCTGCTGCCAGCTCTGCCCTAGGGTTCTCGCCTCTCTCTCTCTGTGTGACTGAAATGGGAGGGGAGTCACCCTTAATTCCTAAGGGCAGGGGGCCCGTTCGTGGGTCCCCAGAACGCCCTGCTCTAAATAAAAGAAATATCTGGTCCCTATTCATCTGAGCTTGTACACAAAGCTAAGCATTACAGAAATAGCTACTCTTCTCAGAGTGCCGACTACACTGTAGAGGTCAGGAAGCTGAGGATCAGAGAGATTAAGTGACTTGTCAGAGGAAACCCAGCTAGAAAGTAGCAGAGCTGGAATTCAACCTGCAATCCATTTCTGGAAATTGAGGTCTTGCCCCTATGTTCAGAACTGGAAAACGCTTTGGCATTTGGGCTGTTAGTGTTTTAGAAAGTCAGGCTTTAGAAGGTTCTATGATAGGAAGAAGGTCATGTTTCTAAGACTGGTACCCAAAGCAGCAATCTAAGTGCCTGAAAGACCCACCCATAGTGTTGGGATGAAGAGCTGAATCAGAGCAGGTTTTCCTAGTGTGAGCAAACTCTCCACTTGTTTGCTTTTTGGGATTCTCTGTATATTTCCCTTCACAGGGCTCACCCTGGCCCACCCTGCTGTTGCCCTCTGACACTGCTAGCCCCTGGTAGGGAGTGAACTTGGGTGAGGCCTTGGGATGGGGGCAGGGCAGGCAACCGGACACGGAGGCACCCCTCCCTGACAGCCAATCCCCTTGTATTCACAGTCTTGCACGCATCTCCGCTCTTCCCTCTGTCCTGGGGAGAGGGATCCAGAGCCCAGGGCTGGTGGCCAGTACACAAGCTGGTAGCGGAGAAAGCACCTACTGCAGATTCCAGGTCCCACATCCCTCCCACGCAGCCTCCTCTTCTTCAGGCTCTTCGCAGCAGCCGGGATGACTGGAACAGCCCTGGGGGAGGGCTGCAATGCTGGGTCTTATGGGAATCGGATGTTCAGGATCCTGCCCTTTACTCTAATAGGAACGGCAAAAAAGGCCCTTTAGCAAGCAGCACGTGGGAGCTGAAATTCCCACAGAATCCAATGCATCAGTCAAATCAAGGGGAGAGAAAAAGATTTAATGCTACATGGAACTTGAAAATCCTTGCTTGGACTCCTTGTGGTCCTTCACCCCCCCCCAAACACCTCCCCCCACGCCCCGTACACAGATAAGAGATGGACAGATTGATCGGTGTTTCCTGAAAACGGGACCGTGCACGTGGAAAGAACAGGAGATGAAAAATAGGAAAGGGGGTCCTGTGGGTTCCACACAGAGCGCTGAAGACTCTGTTGAAATAGCTCCGGTCCTGGGGCCATGAGAGAACACAGCCGCATCGAAGGTCCTCTCAATCCCACGCAAGAATGCCGGGAAACCCAGGTATGACATGAATGCCATAATTTTTTTTTAAGGAGGAAAGAAAGCAATAAGGATGCACGTAAAAGAAGGAAACAGAAAAGAGGGGAGATAAAAAGAATAAAATAACAGCTTTAACGTATAGGGCAAGAAAAAGGTATTTTAAAGGAGGGCGAGGTTGAGAAGGGCTGGGACCCCGGCAAAGACCAGGGTCCTGCAGAAACTTCGCGAGGAAGAGGGGCCAGACGGCTGTCCCATCCCCATGTTTGGGCAGATTAATGGAGTCGTGACTCCCTCGCTCGAGTCCTGCCCTGGGAGGGGACAGTATCTGTTTAGATTTGTGTCTAAATTTAAACCCTGATCGCCGGCCTCCCTCCCCCGCTCCCCACCCCTTCCCCCTCCCGCGGCCTCCCCCTTCCTCGTGCTCTCGCGCAGGGCCGGGCCGCCCGCAGTCCCGAGGCAGGCAGCCGCCGGCGCGCCGCCCGCCCCCCACCCCGCCCCTGCCCTGCGCGCCGCAGCCCCGGGTCCGGCGGGCGCGGGGAGCCGAGCGGACAGCGAGCGCGGCCGCCGCGGAGCCGGCACCTGGAGGCCATGGAGGTAAAGCGCGGGGCGGGCAGCGCGGACGGCGGGCGGCGGCCGGGGCGCACGCAGCTGCGGGGCTCGGGGCGGGGAGCGCGGGACTGCTGCCGCCCAGGCGGGGAAGGAGGGCAGATGCGCCCGGGGCTCCCGGGACACCCCGCCGGGCAGGCCGGGCGGCGGGAGGTCCTCCGAGGGAGGGCGCGGGGGCAGGGGGGAGGGGAAGGGGGCCTCCGGGGGGGGGGGGACGGGGGGGGTCCAGGTGCTGGGTTCAGGACGTCTGTGCTTCAGAAGTATGAAGTTAGGTGCAGCGACTTCGTAAATGGGCAAACATGTGGGCCAAAAAAATCTCAATAAAGCAGAAGCCCCTGAATCTGGAGAGTCTGAAGAGATGGGTATTGAAAGAGAAACAGAGCAGGCGACGGACGTGAGGCGCTTCTGTGCCAGGCTGCGGGCTTCCCTTTTCGACTGAAGATTGACCTTTAGGAGAGTCCTCTTGCCTCTCAAGTCCGTCTCTGGCCGTCACATCTTCTGTCAGAACTTTCTGAAAAGCTCCCCTCGCGGGCAGTCAAATGGCGCTGTTTCTGATCAAACTTGAGACTCCCGTGTATGTCCCTGCCTTCTGAGACTGGCTGTGTCAAGGGGTGCTGGCCGCATCTGTGGGGTGCCGGCGGCTTTTCTGCGTGGCTCTTTCCTGGCGCTGTTCCCACCCCAGTGGGGTGCAGGCGCCACCCGCCAGTGGAGGAATGCCCCGTGTATTCCCCTGTCCCGCCCTTCTCCACATTTTGAGGCTTCCATAGATTTTCCCCTTGAAATGGAGACCTGACGTTTAGCCCTGAGCCAATCTTAACAGGACGGGGCTTTTGAAAAAGATGAAAGGAGAAGGTGCAAATGTTAATGTAGCTTCTAAGGTGATTCCCACCCACACTCAAAAGGAAGACTGTTCCTCCTGAGGCTGTAGTCACAGTGTTCCTTCCTTCCCAGCTCCAGGCTCTGCACCGGAGCCCTGGCTGGCTCTCCTGAGCTAGACCCCTGCTGGGCCTGTGAAGCCCTGTGATTTCTCTGCAGGGCTCTCGGTCTGTCCTGAGCAGGCATCCTGCATTCGGGCATCTAGCTCGACTTTGTTGTTGTTTTCAAGGAACAGGGACCATTTTCAGGGAGCCTTTAGAGTGTGGGATCCACCCTCCTTGGAAACATTGGCAAATCAGGGAAACTCATGCAGATTAGGGCTGGGGAAGTGTGGTGGGGACCACACAGCAAAGCTCAGCAGGTGGTGTCCAGGTCCGCCCAAAGACCATCCAAGCCCAAAGCATCAGGATTCTCTCCGGCTGGCTACAGCTTCAGGGCAGAGGAGGGAGATCGCCCAGGGGGGTGCCCAACTTGTCAGGCGGGGTGAATGAAGCCTCCTAAAGAAGTTGCTTCAGAAGTGGGTACCCTCCTCTGGGAGAGTACAAGGGGCTTCAGGCCCTAGGTAGAGGTTCGATATGATTTAGGACCCACCTAATCTCTTGCAGAAATGGACTGGGGATAAGAGCAAAGCAAGCCTTAGGAGTGAAAGCATGTTGCTGCTTGGGGGGCCAAATGCGTGTGTGAAGCCAAATTCGTGTGTGAACTTTGTTCTCGGAAGACACAGAGGGACTCATTCCACAGAGGCACTGTCTTCTCCCTCAGTTGAGGAAGGAATGGTGTGTGGCAGAGGCCCTGAAATTGTCACCTGAGCAACTTCCCGTGTGGCTTGGGGCTGGGAAAAGACAAGGCCCTCCGGTCTACATCTACAAAGGGAGACGGGTGGTAACTGCTGGGGGGATTTTACCAAGATGGGGGTTGGGAGGGAATTGCTTAGCCAGCCAGGAAGCCTGTCGGTTTGCCCTGAGTCTGCTGATTGGCAGTGACTGCTTTTGAAGTTTTCTTTGTCAAAACGACTGAAAAAAGAACTGCAGCTGCTAGCCCTGGAAAAGGAAGTAAAGAGGAAACCGAGAGGCTGGGGAAGTGATGATTCGTAGCCAGGAAGTAAACTTTTTATGGTGGGACATGATATGCAGGAGTGGGATTTGGGAACTCCTGACAAATCTCAGAGTAAACCCCTCTTTTGAGAGATGAAACTGACTTTTGAGGCATGAAGGCACCACTCTATTTGGGGAGAAACTGAGTTATATGACTTCTCAGTATTAGGAATTCAAGCCAGATCAACAAGGCTTACTCAACATTCATTCTCTAGAACCCACTTATCTATTGGAAGTCTTTGGGAAATCTGTTCTTTTTTTTAAGTCACTGTTATCAATATCAGTCATTACTTCAGCCCTCATTAAGCCCTCTGGAATAAACAAGATTAAGATGCCTTTTAAAAGCTCACAGTGCAGTAGGGCAAATGAGACTTACTAGATCCTGTCATGTATGTATGAGTTTTCAAACATGTAAATGCCAAACGAATGACTACTGCAGATGATAAGTGTGCTGGTGTTTTGAGGTGAGACCTGGCAGAAGCCTTGAAAGAATAGTGGGTGGTGAGGAGGAGAAGGCATAGGAATGGGTACAGGGAGAACATGTCAGCTTTGTTCAGGAAAGTAGGCCAGTTGGTTGAGAGGAAGGTAGGGAAGCAGCAAGAGAAAAAAATGAAAGTAATAAGATAAAAACCACAGGGCCTCCAAGTGTAGTGGATGCTGGCCAAGTGGGTGAGTGGGAGCCGGAATCCAAGCCATCGGAGGAAAGGGTTACTTTTTCTTCATACAAAGTCTCCTTGTCTAGCTGTGCCCCCAAAGGGGTGCCTTTTTCTAATTCAGGCAGAGGCCAGCTGCAGGCCTCCAAGGCCAGATAGGGGATGGCCCTGGGTTCTGCTCCACGGAGAGTAGGAAACTCCACAGGGCATTTAGTAAGATGGTGGTCATGAGGAAGCAGGGATGAACTGGCAGAAATGCCAATTCATAGAGTGAGCAAGGGAACCAGGCTGAGAAGCTTCTCTGAGCGTCCATGCAGATTCTGCCTTCAAGAGAAAATAAGGATGGAAAAGATGGAAGAGTAAGGTCCGTGTGTCCAAGGAGAAATCAGAAGTGACATCTGTGTTTCTTTGAGCCCACCAGGGTGCCCAGAAGGGTGGAGTTCCCGAGACACCAAGGAGAATAGTGCAGCTTTTACCTAAGCCTATAAGCCCTTTGTAAGCAGGATCTGTCCTGTTGGTCCTCCGGTCTCCAGAGATTAGCACAGTGCCTCGAATTATAATCCTCTCACTTCTCAAGAAAAGTTTTCTTGGTAAATGAAGTAAGAGAAACAGGGAAGTCCTTGACATCTCAGTGCACCGCTCCAGTGCCTTAGCCTGGGAGGCCTTGGCAGATGCCCTCAGACCCCGTGGCTCTCTCCCCGAGCACTTTGTGCAAGCTGGGCCCCAGTACTAGGCCGACTTGTAACTGCCCAGCTGGCTCTCTCCCTGGAAGGTCCAACAGACACTCAATAAATGCTTTTTGAATGAGTAAATAAATGACTGATGATGGGAGAAAGATGAGATTTTTTTTTTTTTTTAAAGCAAGGTTTAGGTATATTGGTTTTGAAATGCCCAGCAGTCCCCGAGAAATACAGACCTCTTAGGATGCAAATAGGATTCTTCTTTAGAAGAGCTAATGGGGGACATCACTGTGGATAGGAGCCCAGAAGAGAGAAATAAATAGTAAAGAAAGATATGGAGACTTAGGACATCCATATTAAAATAATATTCTTAGTTGTTTAACTATAAATTGTAGGCCCTACCAAATAACCTGAGAGTGCTTGCAAAGAGTTTAATCTTCACGGATGAAATCCTTCATTTGTTCAATGAGTAGGAGACACATGAAAATTAAACTTATTTCCCACAACCACGTGTCTACTATTTAGTTGAACATATGAAGGATTTCATCTGTGAAGATCAAACTTTCTTGCCACTAAACAGATAATCTCTAATTTAGATGGGGACAATTAATGAATCCTTTTCTTTGAGGCTACGCCAAGTCCTTTCCAGATATCATTTGTTCTTCGTCCATTTATTCAGTATTTATTGAGCATTTATTCCATACTGAACCTTGTGTTTGAAATGTTACTTAAAAATCACTGGGCTATCATGTCTTTTTCTCCTCGCAGACTATCAGTATTACTGACGATGACAGAGAAAGAGAGGGAGGGACAGAGAGTGTCTGTGTACCCGTGTGTGTCCCTGTGTATATAATGTGTTCAATTTGTAACCTACTTTTTCACTGATTTTTTTTTTAATTCATTAAATTTTTTTTACCACAATTTCACCAACAGCCTTTGCTGTTTTTGGACCCACCCTCTCGCTGAGCCATATGTTGGCTGCTGGCTGGAGCTTATGGGTCATAATTAGGGATTGCATGGCCTCTGGAAGCTGGGGTTTAGCTCGGACGACTTGTGGGCATCCCCAAGTACCCTCACGTTCCTGTGTGGCTCCCGGGTGCTCTGTGGGACCCCCAAAGTAACACTGGCTTCCACTTAGCCGCCACCTTTCATTCACTGGCCTGCAATGACAGGGGGCATTTGGGGCAGTCCGACTGGAAGGGCCCAGGCCGAGATCACAGGAGGGGTGAGTGTGCATTCCCGGGATGGAGTCAGGTTTCAGAGCCTGATCCGCAGTGTGCCTGCTCGAGGCAAGGAGAGCCAGAGCAGGGTGCCGTGGGAAATCTGAACGCTAGTGGCTCAGCGGCCCAGTAATCTTATCAGGGCCATAGGCGAAAGCATTTTTGTTCCAGAGAAATCTGAAGGCAGCCCTGCCTTCCTCTAGTAATAGCTTTAGGTTTGCAGCCAGCCTGACCACCCCGACTCGACTCACTAGAATCAAAACATTTCAGAGCTGTGGGTGAAAGGATACCTTCTCTAGCTGCCCCCGCCACGTTGTGAGGGAGAAAAGAGAGCCACCGAGGCTGCTGGTGGACCTTTGGAAAGCCAACAGCTTGCAGTGTTTCTCTCATCTGGGGAGCAGAGCAGCCTAAACCTTAAGAAGTAAGATCATCAGTTTCATCACAAAAGCAATATCCACCTCATGTTTGGCCTTCGGGGTGTTATGTAGACATGTTTATTTCTCTGTGCAAAAGAGGATACAAGGATCCTGCTGATACAGGGCTCAGGCTTGGTGGCCACCATCAACCTCACTGCTCTAGGACTTTCCAGGAGCTCATCTCCTGAATGGATCTGCCCTTGTATGCCGGTCATTTGGGCAGTGAGCTCCCCATCTTCTTCCTTTCGGGCTTCCTGAATACGTGTCTTCTGGGAATTGTGGAAAATGACTGACGAGCCAGTGAGGCCCCCCAGATCCTTTTTGTAGAGGAGGGGCTCCAGCCACTGCAATCACAAGGCCCAGTACCTCCTTGGGGAGGTGATGTGGACATGCACAACATGCAGGAGACACTTGTGAGATGCCATCAGAGCCCATCCTTAATGGATAATGTTGGCACCCCCAGGCTGGAAGCATGGAGAAATTCCAAACATTGGAACTCAGCTAAGTATCTGCATTGTCAGATGTCCCCAGCCCTTTGTTTCGAAACTGCTTGTGCCATATCAGGGCCACCCTCCTGGCCTCGGGGTAGCAATCACAGCCCTTTCTCAGACTGGCTCTTCTGTAATCCATCGCTAACAATTCACAGGACACCGCACCCTCACTCTTTAATTAGGTCCAACGGACATGCATTGAGGCCAGGCACCGGGGACACAAAGATAAATGCCTCACTCCGCCCAGCCTTGAAGAACTCAGGTCTAGGAGTGGGGCAAGCACCTAACAGGTGAGTGCAGAACAGAGGTGTGAGCTCGCAAGGACAGAGGAGAAGCGGTGTACCCAGCCCAAGGTTCAGGGGGGCTTCCTGTTAGAGGCAGTTTCTAAGTTAGGTCTTGAGGGATGAGTAGGAGTTGTAGTGCAGAAAATTGGGACGAGCATTCCAGTCAGAGGGAATGACGAGAGCAAAGCCTCTGGTTCTAGAAACAACATGGTGTGCCTGGGGGGACTCCCCGCAGTTCATTCCTGGAGGACAAAGCGAGATAAAGGTATTTGAAGTTGGGGGACTGGATGAAGGATACAGAGAAATAGAAGTTACAGTTCCTGCCTTAAAGGAGCTCTCTTCTATTTGGGGAAACAAGATGTACACACGTGACGTGACATACAAAAATATAAGATAGTATCTTGATAATTTCTCAGGTATGTAGGGGTTCAAAGTCAGCTTCTCTAATGGCAGCTAGAGAAAACTTGCTTCCTCTGCTGGGGATTCCCCCGCCAAATGTGGCAGCCTCCTGGCAGCCCTGCGGGTGCACGACCATGGGGACTTCAACCTAGTGATGAGGTGCACTGCATTGGGCCTGCACGTACACGCTCTTGCTGAGGAAATCCACTTGAAACAGGCTCCAGGCCCCAAGGGAATGCTTTTGGTCAGCCTCACCAAAAGCCACCGCCATGGCACTCGCCTCCATCAGAAAGAGGCCTCTGGGAACAGCCATGCTCACGAAAAACCGCCTTGTCCTGTTCACACCTTTACCTGCAGCCCCGCTCATTCCTCCCACCGTGGTCGCACATCCTGTGCATGGTCTGAAAAGCCAGCGTTTCTCCTCTTCGGCCCAAGGCAGCGCAAGGACAAGCTGAGGTGGGCTCAGTAACAGCAGCCAACCACAGGCACCAGCCAGGGCTGGGCCCAGCAAGCCCAGCGCAGCAGAAACAGGAAGCTGAGCCTTGCGGCCGCTATTACACAACCCCAACTCCCACACCAGAGGTCACCGAGAATTTACATGTCACAATATGCCACAGAGGACTGAAGGCCTCCTCGGGTCCTCCCCTCCAGACCCCCACTGGCTCGTTCTTTCCAAGCACATGAGCTAGAGGGCAGGTCTCCCACCCCCACCTCGCCCCACCTCTGAAATGCATTCCCAGGCTTCAGGTCCCTGGCTCATCTTGCTTTTGAGGTACATTTCGATGGATAATGGGAAATCATTTCTGAGCAGCCACATCGATGTCAGTGTGGGGAGAAACCTAAAGCTTGTCATCTGGGTGATTCCTTCCACTTGTTGAATGCTTCCTAAATACAGATGTTTTGCGTAAGTTTATCTTGTTTAGTCCTCATAAAGTCTTGTTACCTCTGTTTTCTAGAGAAGGATGCTGGGGCTTCAGTATGATTAAATTATGTTCCCAAGGCCTAGAAGGTGACTACCAGAAGAGCCAACATTGGAACCCACCCTATCGGGTGGGATCCTATGGCCCTATTCTTTCTCCTGCACTGGGGAAGCTCTGGCCGCCTCCATAGTATGTGTGTGCTCACAGGGAGGCCACAGGCCCCTGGGCCTGGCCAGTCCTCCTCCAGCTCAGGGCCAGCCCACAGTGGAGGCCAGGTGGCTCAAGGCATGGGGCTTTTAAGGTCTGGCAGAGATTCACTCTGAGCCCTCACTACGTACCTGAAAGGTTTCTGAAAGGTTCCAGCTGTGTCGCTGGATGAAACTAGCGCGGACGTCTGTGGCAAAAAAAGGAAGTTTAAATAAAAATGCAATTTTAGGGCTTAGAGTTTTGAGAGCAAGAAAGAATGTTAGCAATTTCTCCAGTTCCCTTGGTTTTAAAGATGAGGAAACTACACATAAAAGCTTTACCGATGGTCACACTTTAAATCAGTCAGTGGCTAAGTCAGACCTGAGATGAAGGCCTCCTGGCCCTCAGCAGAGGAACTTCCCCTGCACAGGGCGCTGTAGATCGTGTGTGGAAGTCAGCTCATCATCACCATCTCACTGCCCCATTTCTGTGTATTGTCTCCTTGAGGCTCTCCCAAGTCCACACTGGGGGTGCTTGGTTCTCTAGGCTTTACCTAGCAAGCACCATTATCTCTGGGGTGACACAGGCAGGGAGAGGAATGGCCTTTATTGTCATTCTTCTAGCCCACAAGGGCAAGAGATCCAGGGCTGAGGCTGGGAGGCCCAACCCCACAGGTGCAGCCCTGTGCCTTGTTCCTGTTCCTATTGGTCTTCCTGGGAGAGCCCCTGACCCCTGTTTCCCAGTTGTGCCTGAATCACTTTCCGAGGGCTGGACTGAAGTCCTTGGGAGGAGAAAAACAAGGTTGGTTCCAAGCCCTTGTGTTTCCGAGGGGACATGAATGGGAGATGCAGGGAGATGGGGTGCCCCAGACCACAGCAGAATGCCAGGTTGCTGCCCACATGGGGAATCTAGAGCCAGTGAAGGGGGCAGGTAGAGGAGTTGGCTAGGACTGCCATCACACGGCTGCAAACTAGTGGCTTAAAACAATAGAAATTTATCGTCTCGGTGCTAGGGGCCAGATATCTGAAATCAAGGTGCCCCAGGGCCACATTCCCTATGGAGGCTCTAGGGGAGAAATTGTTGCACGCCTCTTCTAGCTCCTGGTGGTTGCTTGAGGTTCCTTGGCTTGTGGCCACAGTAATCTCTGCCTCACACTAACTTCACCTTCTCTGCTCGTGTGCCTCTCATGAGGACGTGTGTCATTGGATTTAGGACCCACACTGATAATCCAGGGTGATTTCCACATCTCAAATCTATAACCCTTTACTAAATAAGGTAACATTCACAGGTTCCAGAGATTAGGGTGTGATCACGTGTGATCATATCTTCTTGAGGGGCCACGGTTTAGGCCACCATTCAGCCCACGACAGCAGACAACTTGCTGTCCATTATAGGGGTGGGGGACTTGGGGGTTTGGCAGAGTGAATCCTTGGTTATTGCAGGCCATATTAAGACACCACCATCTCTGTCACTGCCCTCAAGTGAATTACCAGTGACTACTCATTGGTATCTGTCTTGTGACTGATTTCCTGCCTCTTGGGGAGCCTACAACACCCATATTGGGGTGGGTCACAAACACAGTTCTTTCTGGTCAGACCCACAGTTGGGAGAGGAGGTCCACAGGGTGCTATGGAGCATTTCCATGGGGCTATAAGGGTTATCTCTTCCCAATGAGATAAATATGGTGTTAGCAGCCTGGGAAGAGCTACTTAAGATCGTCCAGGATCATCGCCACCTTCAGAAAGGATTGTGCCTGGCAAGATTATAAAACCGCATTTTGTGTGATCTCATTTGATATTCTGCTGTCAAATGCCTTATTCTTGATTCATCCCTTTATTCGTGTATTTAAGGACACGTTTTGAGCAGCTACCAAATGGGAACTAGGAAGACACAACACCTGCTCTCAGACCCATACAGTCTGAAGGTGGAGATGGGGCAGAGACGGAAGAAATGATACCAAACAATGTGATTGGCAAACAGTTTGGGGGCACATTGACAGGCACCTCTCAGGGTTCGGACAGGCTCATGTGGCTGAAAACAACACAGGCTTATTTCTCTCGTGCTACACGTCTGTCAAGAGTGGGGCTGGGGGCTCTGCTCCATGTCGCTGTTGTCCAGGTCACTGCAACATTGTCAGGTGTCATGGCAGAGGGAAGGAAAGTTCTGGAGGCCCTGCACTCACTGCGGCTCTGGCCTGGAAGGGTCAGAAGTAGCCCACGGCTACACTCAACCACAGGAAAAAGGAGGAGCGATCCTCCCATGTGCCCTAAGTGATGAGAGCTGGAAGTGTCTAATGCACATCATCGGGGTCCTGGAAGAGTCTGACAGAACTTCCAGATCTGGTGATCATTGAACGGGGTCTGGAAGGAAGACTGTGTCTTTCAGGCTGACAAAGGTGTGAAGGCTGAGGAAGAAAACTTGTATCTGTGCCCCTCACGTTCATTCCCTGGGAACTTACACAGGGAGTGTATCAGGAGATATTTTTCCTGATTTCCTATGGTTATTAATATTCATTAAGTGGATATTGTGGGAAATCGTAACATCCCTGAGTGTGTCTTCTGTAAGAAGGTTCTGGTGTTCTCTTTGCCCAGTGGAAGGTGGCAGAGGGAGTGCAAAGGAGGTGACAGTGGTGAATATGAGCAGAGCTAAGCCTTCCACCGTAGGTCAGATGATGCACAAAACGTGAAGAAGGACAGTACGATTTTACCACGCTTTCTTTTTAAAACATTCTCCCATAGCTCTTAGACTAAATGATAAGCTCTAAAAATCCCCCTCATTGGCGCTAGTTCTCCTACAATGAGCACCGCAGGTATTCAACACACCCTTTTGAATGAGGACCAGAATACAACATGAGGTAAGGCTTAGGGGCACAGACCCGGGAGTCACACAGCTGGCTTTGAATCCAGATTTTTCCAGTTTCTACTAGCCTGCGACCTCTCTGTGCCTTGGTTTTCCCATCTGTAAAACGGAAATAGGAATCGTACCTACAGGATTGGGTTGTTCTGAGGATTAAATGAGTTAATATTTGTGTAAAGTGCTTAGAACAATGCCTGGTGCCTATTAGGTGTGACGTGATTGTGCCCTGGGGTAAATAAGTCGGTTTTCATAGACGCCCTTGCTTTGACTGGGACCCAGGATGGACAAGAAGACGTCCCGAGTCCTCCTCCAGGAGAGCGTGTGACTCCCTGCGTGTGTGTGGGTAGGGGGTGGTTAGTGCACACTGCGTGCAGACCTCCGCTGTTACAGCTTCTGGAGGAGGCCGGTCCTTGGGGCAGTGCTGGAACAGTTAAGTCCAGACCAGAAACTGGGAAATGGGGGAGACGCAGACGTGGAACAGCAAATGCAGGCTGCAGGCTCCCACAGCAGCCACAGCCTGCCAGAGGAAGGGAGTATCATGGGCTCAATACATGCATTTCAGGGAAAGGGAGGGAAAAAGAGGAGACAGCAAGCGTATTTTGTGGGTTCATCCTGATAGAGCAGTGAGTGAAATGAGGAGGGAGGAAATGGGAAGGAGACAGTCGGACCACTGAACTATTGCTCCCCTCCCTCTCCTCCCCACCCTCTCCCTCTCCCCCAACCCCCCCCCCCTACCCCCCCCACCCCCCCCTTCTCCTATACCTTGGTTACCTCTTCCCTGACCTGCCCCCACCTTTCACACCTGCTGGGGGGCGGACCAGCATGGGACGTGGGATTCTGGGACTGCTAGGGTAGCTGCAGGGATTGGAGGCTTTGCCGCTGACGTCCATCCTGAGCTGTTGGCTGGGCTGAAGGAATTGAGGGCTTTCACGTGCCAACCAGGGTATTCCGATTTTTCAAACAGTTACATTACTTGTATTACGAAGGATTTTTGGCAAGATGAATTCAGAGCAGGATGAGCTTCCTTGCCCAAAGTGTAGTGAGCTACACCTTGCATCTCAGGTTTTTCCTGAGGGGTGTCTCCAGGGACAGGCTCTGTCCTTAGCCCTGGCTTGTGAAACATTTTTGTTAATGACTTGGATGAAAAATAGAAAGAATCCAGATGACCCACAGCCAGGATAGCTAATATGCTACATGACATATTCAAGTTCAAGTTGATTTATATAGGGTGGGGTGCTGGGCCAAAACCAACCTAGTGAAATGCAACAGGGACGAATGTAAAGTCCTCTGCTTAGCTTTAGGAAAATGTCATGCAGCACTATAGGAGAGACCTGGCTTAGAAATACACATTCGTTTGGTCAGACTTCCACGTGTATTTATTGGGCCTACTGTAAGAAGATGCTGTTGGGATTCTCGGAGTCAAATATAAGGACAGTACTCAGTAAGCTGAAGGTTTAGTAGTGGTGGTGGGAACCTAGACGATGCAGCTCTGAAGACATGCAAGGCACAGATTGTTATGTAAGCAACAAGACCACAGCGCTGGAGGACCTTCTCAGAGGAACAGCATCCTCAACTGGTGCAACTGGGTGAGGCTTCGTAGGAGGGCTGACTTCAGAGTGGGCACTGAACACTAGGAAGATTTTTTAAACAGGAGGCAGGGGTGCAGGGGCAAAGAAGGAACGGTGGGGAGAAGCTAATGTGACGAGGAGAAGGGGATGAAGGACGTGTGTGGGCAATGATGGGTACCTGCAGTGACCAATATGGAGGGTCTCTTAAGGGAGTGGGTGTGAAAGCAAACATGCATGTATGTGTACGTGCACACGGGGGCGTGCGTACAAATGTGCACACATGTGTACAACTACACGGAGGGGGCGTTCCTGCATACGGGGATGGGGAGGGGTAGGGTGGACACTAGCACAAAGACAGGATGAAACCAGACTGTGCTCTGACTAGAAAGACAATGTTGGTGCTGTGGGCATTCTTCAGGGGGAAATGAAGGCCCTCGAGGAGAGGGGCTCTCAGGGTCAGGGGGCGCCGGGAGGCCATACAACTGGTCCCAGCGTGCAGGGGGGGGGCAGATGGAGAGGCTCTAGAGGCCGAAGTACCAGTCGAGGGGCTAAAGCATCAGTGAGAGATGGCCTGAGACTGGAGAGGCGAAGAAGCTGTGGAATAAACTGAGGGAGGGATCCCCAGGGGTTGGTGTTTGGTTGAAGGCTGCCGTGGAGGCAGTGGTGAGAGAGAAAGGTATGCACGGTGCACAGGGAGTGCACTTTCAGTCCGGGCGCAGGGACGAGAATGTTGCTGGTTTGGGCGGGGAGACGCCACGTTTCGGTGGAGGCGTTGTCCGGACATTTAGCCCCAGAGCTTGGAGGGGCTTTGGGCGGAGACTCAGTCAGCGGCCACCTGCACAGAAGTGCTCTCTGAAGCAGGGGAGGTGAGAGCAACTGCACGGAATCAGGCCAAGGACAAGGCCATGGACACCCCTTGCCTGTGAGGGACACCAGGAGACTTAAGAACAGTGAAGGAGCACTTCAGTTTATATGCAGAGGGTGGGGAGTTTGAACCCACCATTAACTTCACACAAACTAACACTCAAGAAAAGAAAGGCTCCATCTCAGGCTTTCCCTCTGTACTCCCACCCATGTAGGACCTAGAGTTTCCACCCCGCACAAGCAGCCTCCCTAGGTCTCTCCTTGGTGGGACCCCACCTTCCTTCCCCTGGCTGTCTCTCACGCTCAAGGAAGGCAGGCCCTGGGGACTGGGATTGTGGTAGTCCAGATGGAGAGAGTGGAGGGAGAGGGGACAGAATTCTTTATCCACTGGGCAAAGGTCTTTGAAGTGCTTTTAGTGGCAATCAGGCCACAGGTCCCACCCCAGATCATTTATAGACCTCCAGCCACACATAGGGAAGGTCTGAATTAGGGATATTCTTGCTAGTATTTGTAAAACAATGTTAAAACCACGATTAACAAAAAAATCCTCTTAGAAAACCCTAGGACTTTGTGTTCAGGGTATTCGCTTTAGCTTTAAAATGTTATTTTATTATTAAACTAATATTACACATCTTAAGGTAAAATTGTAAACATTCATCCTCCTAAGGTAACTATTTTCTTCTTATTTCCTCGCACCTTTCTGATCCTCAATTTGAATCCCTTTATCATTTAAAAAAAAAAAAACTGGGAAAGACAAGTCCCCTTAATGCAACTACTTCCAACTTTGTGTGTCTTTATTACTTTCTGCCACATACATAGTTCTTACAAAATTGTAATCAGTGTATATGCAAGTCCGTATCTTCTGTCTTAATATTATATTATTTCCAAGGCAATACGCTTATTTGACATGGTCCTATTTTCATTTTAAATATTTGAATGGTATTCTGTTATACAAATATACCATAATTTATTTAATTCTTTTTCTATTTTGGGACATGGCATTTGCTTTCACTGTCTCCTTATTGTAAATAACAGAGCTATAAACAGTACATGTATCTTTTTTGTTGTTCTTTTGAATTATTTCTTTGGAAGCAATTCCCAGGAGTGGAATTATTAGGTCAAAAAAATATGAATGTTTTTATGGTTCTCAGTAAGTGTTGCCAAATTGGCCCCCTCCTTCCTTCCTTCCTTAAAGGCTCACTGTACCCGGTGGGCTCAAATTGTTGGCTCAGTGAGATGTGCCAGGAAGGGAACGTGAGCTGAGAGCGACCCATGGGGCCCGGGTCAGTGCAGAGCCCTGTCCTCCCAGGTACTCCTGTGGGTCCCTCTCCACCAGCAGGGAGGGGCAGTAGAAGGCAGGAAGGGGTTGTTGGCACCGTGGGAAATGAAGCAACAACCCGGTACTTCCTGCTGGAGCAGCGGTAGATGGGGGGATATTACGTACCAGTGAGAGGGAGAGTGAGCAAGAACCACCAGAGCAGAGTGAGCAAGAACCTTACCCCCCGGTCAAGGATAGGGGCAGAACACCCTGAGTGTTGAGAATGGCCTCTAGGGAGCTGTGGGCTTGCTCCTAGGAAATCCTTCAGGGTCATGGGCAAGAGTGGTCTGGATTAGGGAGGAGAGACACTCGCTTGCTTCATGAATATTTAATGAGTGCCCACTATGTCAGGTTCTGTGCCAGAAATTCTGCACACAAAGGGAGTAAAACTTGAGCCCTGCCCTCAAGGAGCTTGCAGTCCAGTAAGGAAGTCAGGATTGCAACAGCGTGATCACCTCTCCTTCCAGGTCCGTGCTCAGGACACAGATCTGGGTGTGACCTGCAGGGAGGAAAGGTTTCCCAAAGGAGGTAACACCCGAGCTCAGGGCAGCAGGCTGAGGAGATGGAGAGCCTCTGAAGAGAAGGATGTTCCAGCTGGGGACGCAGGAGAGAGGGGAGTGCGTGAAGTGGCAGACCATGCAAGACCCCAGGAGCCTCTTTCAGACTTTGGTCGAGGGGGCATGAGGATTTCTCTGCCGGGGCACTTAGCTCACAATCACAACTCCAAGGGGGAGCCTGAGGGTCCTTGAAGCTGCATTTGTAGCTCATGCTTTTTAATGTAAATTGGATGTTTCTTTGGCATGACTGATGAGATTATGGGAAACTTAAAGCTCTCCAAAGCCATCTCTTTGGGTCACCACTGATTTGATTCTCAGAGCACTGGGGGGCAGGGAGTCATGTGATCAGATTTACATTTTAGAAAGTTTGCTGTGGCTAGGGTTCGAAGAATGGATTGGAGAGAGCATGGCATGGGGTCCTTCAGGGGGCTGGGCAAGCCATCTGGTAGAAATCAGGCAAGTGTGCAGATAGAGGGAGGTGGAGGGGGCCCCTCCTCCCAGGGCCAACAACTTTCTCCCTACAGGCCTCACTGAGGACTAAGGGAGGGAGAAGCCTGGTTCCAGGGACATGTGCTCTAATGGGGATGCCCAGGTGTGACCATAGCATTTAGAGGGAGGAAAGCCCTGGGGCTGGGTTTCTAGTGTCCATAATGGAAGGCAGCTCACCTGTGCCTCCCGGGCCTGTGAAGGTGTCCTGTGTGTGCTGGAAGAGAGCCAAGCGAGTGTTACAATCTAGCTGGAAGAAGCCAGGCACGGTGGTGCCAGAGTTCAGGGCTCTGGACTAAATTCCATCACTGAATTGCTGTGGGATCTTGGATCAATGGCACAAGATTCGGGGTCCTCACCAGGATGATAATTCCGTCCCTGCCTGGCTTATTGGGAGGATTAAATGAGACAATGCGTTCGTGGTCAAGGCCTTGGAGAAGGTACAAAGGACGCCACAGATCCAGAGTGTTGTCACCTCTGCACTTTGGAAAACACAGGGAGATATCTGGAAATAACTTGGTCCCTCAAAGAAAGGCAGGCGCCCTGGAGCCTGAGAGAGGGAGAGAGGGAGAGGGAGGGGGCTGCAGGGGGAGAGTGGGGAAGCCACAGGGTGTGCAACTCTGCTTGGGTCTCTGCTTCCTCCTCTTCTTGTGGTTTGCCTTTGAAGTTCCAAGAAGCTGTTAGATGAAAGACCAGGTCCGGCCCAGCCCAGGTCACTCGGCTCGGAGGCAGAAGCCATGTTTGAAGCCACAGCGGGGGGCGGGGGGGGGGGGGCGCGGACCAGCAGGGGGCTGGCAGGACTTCTTGACTCTTTGAGTGTTTGGACATCTCTGACCTGATGCCCCCAGAGCCGCACCAGGAGCCGCTGGGTCGTGGGCCTGCCATCCGTACCCGGGGGACCACTGCCCCATCACTCCAGCCGGGAGCTCCGTTCTAGCCGCAGTCAAGCGCGAAGTTCAGGAGCTCTAGGGACCCCTCTTCTACCCAGTGAAGTGTTTTGAGTTTTAGAAACGAAAGTCCCAATTAAGAACAGAGCAGGGAGCTGGGAAGGTCACAGTGCCAGCCCAGCCAACGTCTCTGCTCGTGTGAAGTTGGGCAGTTTTGACAGCGTAGGGGAGAGGGATGCGGGGCACTTTGGTCCTGACCCCATGCGTGAGCAAAAGCACACGTAGTCTGCTGGCGTGAGAGGGACGTTGGGGCACAGCCCAGAGTCAGCTTGCACGGGCCAGGTGCACGGCCTGCTTTAGCTGGTG